ATTTAATGCACTTATCTTTATCATTTATAAATTAATTTATCAATATAATGAATATATTAAATTAGATATTTTAAATATTATAAAATGATTTTTAAATTAATTAAGGAATTATTAGGGATTTAATTTAATGGGATAGGTTTTGGATTAATTTCTTTGATATCTCTCATTGGGAAGAAATTATTTTGTGTCGAGATTGGTCGCAGAATGCTGTCTAGAGATCAATCAAATGCGCCATTTTAGCGGTATCAAGCACAGAGGTGACGTAGGGCATTTTGGTTTGTCTCATGATTTTGTTCAGCGTCCGCACAGAATAATTAATCCTCATTGGGTGGGATGTATGAGCTTTATATTTATTTTTTATTGAGTGGCTCTTATGAATGGATTGTGGATTTATGGGTTAAGTTTGTCGCCATTAGTGATGCATTTGTCTTATTTGTAGGAGCCGTTTTGTTATAAAACTATTTATTTACTTATTTAAAATTACATAAATTGAGAAAATAACAAAAAATTGGTTAGAATATTTTACATAAATTTTATTAGGATGAATTAAAAAAAGATATTCTATTTTTTTTGTTATGTTTAAATAATATGAAATCATATGATTTCGATTTATATATGGTAAAAAATAACAAGAATATTTATTGTAAACTTTATGATAAAATAATAAAATTATTGAGGTATAGATATATATGTGTGTGATTAGCAAAATAATAGTACAATTGTCATAGAAAGTGAAATAAAAAATATAATAGATAAAATATAAATTCATGAAATTTTTACTATAAATTTTATGAGAAAATAATAAAATATAAGGATATAAATTATTTTTTTTTGAGATATTTATGCATATATTTTCTGGACACTTGAGAACATTTTTCATGATATCAATTTTTAGAGCTCCTTCAGAAGAGAATTGGGTTAGGATATATTTTGAAATATATTGTTTTAACTTAGTATGGTCTGACCTTGCCAGAACTCAGTAAACTATTACTGGATCTGCATCAGATCTCTTAGAAGAACTTGGTGAGACCCAGCTAGCTCCAGATTACTTCATTCAATTTAAGCTTCTTTTGTGACAGCTTTATCAAAAAAAGAAAGCTGTGTTAGAAAGCAGTAGAAAAGTTATCCTAAACAAAATCTTACCTTTGACAATCATTTCTATTGCTCATGAATATAGAGAGAACACATTGTGCTTTGTGTTTGTCCCCAAAGTTGCTGAAACATATTAAAAATGTCATCTTTACAGGCTTACATGGTAGGAGAACATGGTGACAGTTCAGTAGCTCTATGGTCAGGCATAACTGTGGGCGGCGTCCCTCTCCTATCCTCATTGGAAAAACAGCAAATTGCTTATGAGCAAGAAGTTCTGGAACGCATTCGCCAAGCGGTCGTCAACAGCGCCTACGAAGTAATTCGCCTCAAAGGCTACACTTCCTGGGCCATAGGCTACTCCGTCGCCAGCCTCGCCCGCTCCATCCTCCGCGACCAGCGCCGCATTCACCCGGTCTCCATCCTCGCCCGCGATCTTCTCGACGGCGTCCCGAAGGGGCGGGAGGTTTTTCTCAGCCTTCCAGCTCTGCTGGGCAGGTCAGGTGTTGTTGGAGTTACTTCTGTTCATCTTACTGATGAGGAGGCTGTTCGGCTTTCCACATCTGCTAACACTCTGTGGGAGATCCAGCAGCAGCTTGGCCTTTGAAGAGATTATTTACTATGTTATATGCATTGAGGTATGATTTTGGTTTTATTTATCTGATCATATGTGCTCTGTTATTGTTAAAATTATTTTGTGTGGATAAGGACATCATCCGGAGGCGAATCAGAACGCGTTACTTTACTTTTTTATTGTGTACTGTTGTGTACTGAGTGATATGGCGTGTTCTGATTCGCCTCCAAACGGTCCTGTATACGCACAGAATAATTTCTCATGTTATTGAGTTATATTGATTAAGAGATATTTTAATTATTTCTTGCTTATGTGTTTTTGTTGTAAGCAACTGGATTTAGTGGAAGATGTATCAATGTTGTTTTTGGATTATGTATGTAACGTGTGGATGAGTTGTTTACAAAATAAGTATTCTCCTTTGACCTATCTATGTTTTTCAATTTTGAATTCAAATATTAAAATTCACCGCAAAATACTAACTTGTGTTTTTTACTTTCATCATATTTTAGCACTTTGATCATGATATATGCAAATTTTTTTGGATTTTGTAGGAGAAAATGATCAAAATGATCTCTAGTTATATTAATTGATTATTTTGGTCTCTCAATTCTTTAAAGAGGAAGAAGTGGGACTGTTATGATTCCTCTTTCAGGATTTGAGAGAGCAAATTGTCAATTAATATACTTGGTTGGGGATTATTTTGATCTTTTTGTAAAGAGTTAAGAGACCATTTTAGTCATTTTTCTTAAAAATGACATGAATGTTAGTTTTGTAAATAGATAAATTTTGGGTGTTGTATATGTCATTCCTCTATTAAGGCATATTTTGTTGCTTCTATGTATTGGAAATTTCTTCCATTAATGATTAATATTGTGATTCGCTCTTGTTGTTTGATTGTGAGAATACTAAAAATATATAGATGAGTGATAAATGACATATACAACACTAAAAATTTTTAGTATTCTTTGCGATCACTATATGACATTCAGAGGCGAATCAGAAAGCGGCACGACATTTTTTTATGTGTACCCATACTGTGTACCACTATGTATCGGGTGAGAGGGAACTTACTGATTCGTCTCTGAACCATCTGGTGACCACACAATAATTTCCCCCCATTTCCCCGTCAATTACTACCGCTTCTAAATGTAGAGTATTTGAAGACTTCTAATAATGCGTAAATTATCTAGTACCTACTAATTATTTATTGACTAGCATAACCCAAATGAGAAAAATTTTAAAATTGATGATATTGCTTTGCAAGTAATTAATTTATTGTTTTTTAAATACATTTTTTTTTAACTTTAACAATAAAATGAATATTAGGGCTTAAGGGTGTAAATGAGTTGAATTAAATTCTCACTTAATCATCGAGCTAAACTCATTTAATTTATTCCGAGCTCAAACACGAGGTCAAGCTCAAGCTCAAATTTGAGCTTCTTTATTAATCCTAAGTTCAGCTCAAGTGAAAAATATGAGACTTGAGCTTAATAAGAAAGTACAAAATAAACTCATTCTGAAGCTATTTTGAAATTGGTAATCAATCTGATTCGAAAAGCTAACAAGCCAAGCTGGAAGCCATATCTCAAATCTAAACTCGCACTCAAATTCCAGATGATAAGCTCGACTTGCAAGTTTGAGCTGACTCACAAGCCAGCTTGATTCGCTTAGGCCCCTATTAAGACCTATTTGATTCCAAGTAAAATGTGATTTTTAACATAAATATAAAAGATTCAACCTTGATATCAACTTTCTAAATCTTTACTAATTAAACTAAATGACACCAACAATATCTTTGATGTTAAGCTATTAAGTATTGGATAAGAGGCCACAATAAAAATTGCAGAAAAACAATATTTACAGAATGAAGAAGAACTATCCAGTTTCAGGTCTGATCTGCTGCCATAAATCACAGAAATAAGCACAAAAATATAGATCAGATGACCAAAATAACAAATATGGAGGTGATCCTTTTTAGTGGCTAAAAATCAAAACTGTGATGCAAAGCTAACTCTGTTACATACCATCACTGCCTTCACATTTTTTTGGCCTCTTTAAATTCTCCTTCTCTGCTTTGTATTTACTCTATAGAAAGCTCCTCTAATATTCTCTTCTTCCTCTTTGACACTCTTTTTCTTTTCAAACTGTATGTTTTACTCTGCACTAAGCTCTCTCATAGTCTGCCTTCATGTTGGTATTGGTAGCACAGCAGACTCTTGGGAGAAAGAGAGCCTTAGCTCTATCAAGAATAAAGAAGAAATAAAGATTAAATGAAAATAATACTTATGAAAGCAGAAAGGAAAAACAAATTATCTGCCAATTTAGGCTTTGTTTAGGAAAAAGTTATTCTATGTGGAGGCCGGACGCAACTCTATAACCGGAGGCGAATCAGCCACATCTGCGGTACCGAGTAGTACCCCACCACGATATCAAGCGAAGGGGTGATGTGGTGCATTCTGATTGATCTTTGGACGGCGTTCGACATCCGCATAGAATAATTTTTCTTGTTTAGAATGGCTTTTATATAAAGTAGCTTTGTAATCATAGGCGAAACCCCAGTGGGCAATTGCCCCCCCTCAAAATTTTTTAAAAAATTAGTTTATATGATTTTTTTAGGTAATTTATTCCTTTTCATTTATTTTTTAGTCTTTATTACAAGAGTTTTTAGGCAATTGCCCCCTGTAAATTAGGGCTGGTTCCGCCCCTTGTTTGTAATACAAATATTTCTAGTTCAAGAAATTTTTGTATTAAAATTGTTTTAAAAAGCAATAATAAAATTGTTCCAAACGAAATATTAGATTGAAATTCAGGACCTTACTTTGCCCACTGGCTTCAGTAATCTTCATGATTCTGAGTCTTTTGACTGTATCCAAGAACATGCTGCACCATGTCCAAACGTTAGAAAACAGCAATGAATAAACCAAAGGGAGCAAATCAAATAACTATGAAGCTAAATTGGATTTCTTAGCAAATCAACAATGAATGGTGACTCTGGACTTCTTCGATTTAAGATAATGATATACATATATAGAAGTGTATAATTTGAAACTGTATCTCTAAGTTCTCTTACAATCATGTATGTGATGTCCCTCTAAATTTTGGATGGATTATTTGGTCGCCTCTCATTTGAAAATCTAATTCAGCCAATGCCCACCTTGAGTAGGGGTGGAGGGGGGTGGGGGAATCCTAGGATTTGAGAGCCACCTTTGCATATACAAAGTGGCTCATCTATCAAGTATTTAAAGCCCTTAGATTAATATTTAAGATTGATATTAAGTACCTTTTTTGAGAACTGTTCTATTTAAAGTGATGGGTGAGCTACTTGAAAAAATTGCATAGATGCCCCTTGATTTTGAGAAATTATTCTGTGTGGAGTCCAGACGGGAAGATTGCTGCGTATTTACTGAGTATTTGCTGCAAATAAACAAATGCTTAGCAAATACCATATAAATGCTCAGCAAATATTCACAATTGAATATTTGCTGAGTATTTACAAATATGTAAGAAATTCGGAAGGTTCTCCCCGTCCGGACTCCTCAAAGAATAATTTCTCATTGATTTCGGGGGGATTTGGGATGCATTTGTGAGAAACCCAAGTTCTATGAAAATCTACAAGTGGCTTACCTACCAGGTGTTTGTAGCGCTTGGATTGAAATATAAATGTTGCAATTAAAGGAAGTGCCTCTTTTGCTAATTGCTCTCTTCATAGTTCCCATAAATTGGGACATCAATGTCAAATCTAGCAACTTTAAGATATGAGACTAATATTAACCATTACCTCCACGGAACATCTCCAACCAGCATCCAATCCCCATCTTTGTCTTCATACGTCAGTGCAAACTCATTAGAACCATCTAATAGCTTCAATTGTTTCATTCCAACTGCAAAGAATGTCAATATAGCTCAAAGTTCCAAATCAAATATATATTCACCATTAAAACAAACATATTAGCCATACATAGACTAAGGGACTTTTTGGCAACAGTAATTTCGGCTTTTATTTGGAATAATTTTTTGACTGCTTTTATGATAAGAAAAATAATGTGTTTGAAAGACCGCTTTTTTAATTTTTTGCTATTAAAAAGTTATTCTTGAAACTTTCACTGAAAAAGCAAAAACTGAAAACTTTAAGCCGCCCCAATGAGGAAAATTTATTTTGTGCGGACCTCGGACGGCGCCTGGAGACCAACCAGAACACGCCACATCACTTTTTTGCTCGATGCCGGGTGATGTAGCATGTTCTAATTAGTCTCCAAACCGTCTAGTATCTGCAAAGAATAATTTTTCCCCAAATAGAGCCTTAGTAAATCATACAACTTCATACTTACTAAATCTTCAAAGATTAAAACCTGAAATTTATTGTTAAATATTACTAAATCCTAATAAGCAACTTAAATATTTGTTTCAAAGAAAAGAAATTCCTAAATCTATAAATTCCCGTAAATGATGGGATTTAAAAAAGGAAAAATGTCCTATCCAAATATCTAGATCCAAGTTTTGATCATAATGAATCTCAGAATCCTTAAAAATGCTTTAAGATGAATCTAGTACATAAATAATTAATGCTACACTCATCCCAAGGTAAATTTAAGAGATTTCAGTATATCCAAATTATTTTTTTATTTGGATATCCTGATATAGAAATCTTATTACCAAATATTAAATTTAACCAATAAAGAGACTGAAATGAGATTTACAAAAAGAAAATGATTTAAAGCCTAAAACATTCTACTAATAGGATACCAAACAACCCCTAAAAATAAACAAAGCAATGAATGAAGCATAAGCTTACAAGAAGAGGTGGGCTTGTAGAACATGATCTCCAGAGCAAGGGCAAGTGTTTTGTAGGATTCATGTGCATTTAAATCAACTTTTCTACCAATAGGATCACCATCCATTTTCACCTTAACGAAACGAGAGCCATCAAAGTTCTTGTTGTCTTTGATCTCTTTGGAAACCATGGCTTTCTGTTTCAAGTTGGAGTTGTGGATTTTCTTCTTCTGATCACTTGTATTACATTCAGGAATGTTGTCTTTGTACTGGTTAGCCATGTTATTCATTCTAAAAGCCCGAACTGGTGGCCATCCAACCAATCCTTGACTGGAATCAAAGAGTAAGAATAAAAAAGAAGCAAAAGGACAATAATATAAGAGCATTAGCTAAAAATAAATAAAAATTCATTGATGTGAAATAAAAAAATAAAGGTTCAAGAATTAAAAGAACAAGAAAATGACATTAAATAAAAGAAGGATTTTCATAAATATCAGATTTTTTTTTAATGTATATATAGATTAAATATTTTAATTTTTACATTTATTTATAACACTTTAACCTCTCAATTACATTAATAAAACCGTTTCTCTCTAGCTCTCTTCTACAACTCATCAAGATTTTTCTTTGAGTTATGAACTAGCAAAAAATCATCTCTCTATACTAAAATAGCATAAATTTACATGCAAATTGGTTGCAACATGACACATTTATTTTTAATTTAAATTAAAAAATATTTTGGATGTTGCTACTTTTAATTTGCATTTCAGCTCGAACATAATTAATAAATGCAATTAATTTGTACAAATTTAAACAGGACACATTTAGAGAGGGCATAAGCTATTGAAGGAGATCATGAAATGATAGGCCAAAACAGAACAAGTTCATTTGTTTGGCTCAAAGGGGCAAGACCATCTAATGCGCTACACATAGATTAAAAATTCAGAGCATCTTAAAAAGAAAACTGCCTTAAAAAAGTACTAAGCCAAAATGAAAAAATAAATAAATAGATAAATAAATAAGGACGATTTACAGACATACCACAAAATCTTATATATTTATATATCCAATAACAAAAAAATTATAAAGACATATGTATCGCTTTAATGTCTCAATCTTTATATAAAATTTTTTAATTTAAGTTTTAGATATATAAATTTATGTAAATCGCTAAAAAATTAATTCTAAACTGTAACGAGGAAACCAACTAGTGATCAGCTTACAGAAGGTAGGTACAACCCAAACAAAATCACCCCCACAAAAAAAAATGTTTCAAATCCAACCAATAAGGAAAATCCCATGAAAAACAACGAAAATAACCCATCTAGATCCATAAGCCAAGATTAAAAAAAAAAACTATCAACAAGATGTAAAATCAATACAAAGAACATAGATACAACATCAAACAAAGAAACAAAGACGAAGCTCACCTGATCTGATTACCCGCCCCGCCGATACACGGCGATACCAAATCATTATTCCTCTTCTTCCCCAAATCCCCTCCACAGCCCCCGCCGGCATTGCTTGCCGAACCCGATGAAGAAGAAACCGACGACGAAGACGAGATCGGCGTCGCCAGCAACGTAACCATCGGAAAATCTTTAGCCGTCAGTATCCTGCAGTTCTTCTTTCCCCATTCCCATGATCTTTCCTCACCTCCGTCGCAGGAAGCATTGGTCGCCTTCTTCGCACTTAAACTAAGCCCTAGCTCAAGCTCCTCCATCGCCGCCTCCGCCGCCGCCGCCGCCGCTACAGCGAGACCACTCCGATTCTTAAATCTGATTCCCCCCTTTCTTCGAAGAAATAAACGGGAAGAAAGCGATGGGGCGGTCTCTGCCTCGACAGAAGCTCTCGAGAACTGCGAAGTGGCGAAAGTGGAAAAAAAATATTAGGTAATTTGGCTTTATATAGTGATTTTTTTTTATTTGATTTGGCTTTAAATGTCAATTTTTCTATCGTGCTTAATGGAGCCCTGGATGGATATTTCTCTTCTTCTGCATGGATAAGGCAGGGGTGCCCTCTCAGTCCTTATCTCTTTTGTTTGGTTATGAACGCTTTCTCTAACCTCCTTGAGGAGAGGGGCTTTAGAGGAATCTTTTTTGAGGATTATTCTATTAATCATTTGTTATATGCAAATGATGTGCTGATCTTTGGGGAGGCCACCATTAATAATTGTACCTTGTTGGCTAACATTTTAAGTGATTTTGGCAATGCTTTTGGTTTTCATATTAATTATGATAAAAGTGCTATTATATTTCCTAAACATTTGAGAAACACTATGGAGATATGTCAAGCCCTCTCTATTAACAACATTATTTCTAAAATCACTTATATGGGTATTCCTTTGTCTTTCTACAAGTTGAAAATTGAAGATTATTTGCCTCTTATGGTAGTGTAAACAAGAAAATGAATGGTTGGAAGGCGAACTTATTGTCATTTGTTGGTAGGCTTCAATACATCAAATTCACTATCCAGAACACCATTGCATACTGGATAAGGGGGGCGATTCTGCCTAAATCTGTCTACAAATATGCTAAAAAAATCAGTTCTAGATTTTTATTTTTTGGTGATTCTCAGATTTCTAATAAGATGCATATGGTGTCTTGGGATAAAATCTGTAGGCCGAAATATAAGGGGGGTTTGGATATCCCTTCCATTTTTGCGCTACAATTTGCATATAACTGTTCTGTCATCTTTAGGATGTATAACTCCCCTTCCCTCCTCTCTACATGGCTTATCTATAAATATAGGTCTCCTTGGAGACCTCCACCTGCTCATGCCTCTAAACTTTGGAATTTCATTTGTGAGACTGCTATTGGGGTGAAAGCTTGTTTTCAGTTTAAAATTACTCACAATGCTCCTATCTCTTTGAGATGGGACCACTGGTGCAACAATGCCACTATCTCTAAGTACTTAGGTGGCAATTTTAATGATGTGATTCCGGATTGCCGTCTGAAAGACCTTATTTTTGCTTATCATTGGGTTTTTCCTGAGAATTTTATGATGCTTATGAGTACTGCTTGTGGGAAATTTAATGTTGATGGGGAGGCTGGTAACTGTTTGCTTTGGAAAAATTGTTCTAATTATAAGTCGATAGCTTCATTGAGGAGTATTACTCGGATATTCCTAATTGTTATTGGCACAAACTTATATGGCCCAAAAGAAATATCATTAAACATTCGGTTTTTGTGTGGTTGGCATTAATGAGGGGATTGAAAACTGCAGACGCACTTCAAATCAGGAACATCTCTGTGTCGGACATGTGCAGTCTCTGTTATCTTCATAAAGAAACTGTTACTCATTTATTTTTTGAATGTTCATATTCTTTCTACATCATTTTTGCTCTCATTCCTGTAATACAAAGTTTTCTTTTTAGGCCCAATATTCTGCAGATTTTGGATTGGGTAAAATCTGAATTTAAAGGTAATTTTTTTGAGGACAATGATGATAGCTGCAGATCTTTCTCCCCTAGGAGGGTCTGCATGGCAACCAGGGGATTTTGGGACTTCAAATTGACTGCAGCACCTGAGTCCTGCTTCATGAGTTTTCATGAAGTGCTGAAGGTTCTTTTTTGGATTCGTACATTTTGGCTTCTTATAGCTTCATTGGTCTGTATTGGGTGGTATAATTTTTGAGGTCTTTTTACTTTACTTTCCAGCTAACCTTTATTTTTTAGTGTTAGCTGTTTGTATTTTCCTTTTCAATTTTACTTGTATGTTCTCTACTTTTCTTAGTAATATAAGGGCTTTGGCCCCAAATTTCCCAAAAAAAAATCATATTCAAATTTTTATTTTAAATATATTTTTTATTTTCTTTATTTTTTATAATAATTTTTTTAATTCAAAATACTTCAAAAAGACCTATTAGGGCATCTCCAACCCAAAAACAAATGAGCATTTGCAGTCGCCACACTCTGACTGAACAACAAATTCAGCGTCATTTTGTGTGAGATGAACAATATAACCCTAATATTGGGGTAGCACTTTTCAAGAACATAATTTTTCGCTAATTTTATTTTGGTTCGTATATTCTTTTTTGATGTTATGAAATGGAGTTTGATTTGAAGATGAATTATTGTATTTTGAATTGTAAAATGTGTTTTTTTTTTGTCAGAAAGGGTCTAACACATTAGAATTATAATATAATTCAAACTTTTATTCAAGTATAATTTAAATCATTTTTCAAATAATATATTTGGATTGAGTTCAAATTAGGTTCAATGATGTTTAGCAACCGAAGAAATAGGTCAAGAACTCCTCTTCTCCTTCAGAAACCCCCTCTTTCTTTGCAAGCTCTAGTTAGTTTGGGCTCCTCTTGTCACATTTCGTCAATGACTTCGCTATTGAGCTCCCAATACGAACCGTTCTTCTCCTTTGCGCGCCATTGAACAATTGGCATCTTCCTCTAGCGAGGTACCGTCACAAACGCATCTTTCATTCAAACATTACCACACCCATCGATGCCACCGCCAATGATCTCTTGTTACGAATATCCCGTCACACATTACACGCCAACACTCCTATTGCGATCTCCCGCCCAGCTTTTTTTATTGCAAACAACAACATTAGACATTCGATTATAAATTCTAACACTTATGTTGTTTGATCCCATTCTAAACAATTTGATTTGAAGAAAAGATAAATTTAGACCAAATTTAATTCAAATTCTTTGGTGGCAAACACATCTTACCATCCTCATAGAAATGGTATTAAGATGAACATAAAATCATTAGAATTGCTTTGAAATTAGTGCCGATAAATGTACGAGGAATTAAATTCTATTAATTTTAAAATATATTTTAATTATTATTAAACTCATTTTAATACAATTTCTTTTAAATAATTATCACAAAATTTTATTTAATATTATTCTAATATAAATCTTAATAATAATATATTTTTTCATGATAGAGAAATTATATGTATCTATATATGTGCGTGTAGGTGTAATTTTATAAAAATAAATCTAATTTTATAAAATTATGACAAATATTTTTTGTCATTTTCATAGATAATATTTAATTAAATTATAAATTGTGGGGCCGGAAAAAGGCAGGTAAGCTGTTTTGTCTTGGTGTGAGAGTACGTCACGTGACTAGTCCTCCCGCACGTGCCTAAACTCCGAAGCAGCCTGGCCCACTCGCTATCATCGCTGTCACGTACAAGGCCCGGCGCACGTGGGGCCCGGCCCGGTCCACTTTTTAACCTTTAGAGTCTTTTAAAAAGGCCGGTTTTTTCGGAGGCCGAGAAACGAGCCGATATATCGGCGGAGAACGAGAAGCTCGTCGCATCTCATATCGTCTTAAAAGCCGTGTCGCGGTCCTCTGTATTGGGAGGACCTAAAATTTGACCATAAAAATGACCCCCAGCTTTTTATGGCAGGGAAGGGACCAGGCCGTTTACTTCTTACTCAATTTAAGACTTACTAAAAATTAGGAATATATAGTACGAATGATTTTTTTTAATAATGTAAATTAAAATATAATAATTATAATTAATTTAAATAAGAAATTTAATTGAATAATAATAAATATTAGAGATATAGCACTAAAAAAAATTAAAACAAAAATATAAAAGAGAGACGCTACAAATAATCATGAAGAGAATTTTTATTTCATTACAAAAAGAAATATTAAAGATTATTCATAAAATCATTTAAATTATACATATTTATAGATTTAATAGTTTTTTCAAAACAAAATGATTGTAAATAAAAATTCATTGGGCAAAATTAAACTTTTTTAATCAAAAAATTAAGCCACATCTTTCTAATTATCGCATATAATTAATAAAATATATATTTTATATTTGAAATAAAAAATATAAAAAAAAATTAAATTTTTGATCATTGTGTATAAAATACTAAGGTGGGCCCCACCAGTCCCGGCCTAGCTGTCGAGCAGGGAAACGACAGGCCGGCACCATGGGCCCGACAGGCACTCGAGAATCTGCGACGTCGCACGTGGGCCGACAAGGTTGCCATCACGGGCGGGCTAAGTCGTGCGGGTTAAGGAAGAAAGAGAAGAAATAAATAGTGGGCCCAGTGTTGCGGTCCAGCAGACAGGCCCACTCGAACCACCACAGTAGGCCCACCGTTGAATATTCGGCATCATTAGAAAGAGATACGCAGTGTTTCAATGTTTTATTATTGCAGGGACCGATGAATTGACCGGCGGTCACCAAACTTCTGCCAGTTTCAAGCCCTCCATTTATTTCTCTAAAAATTTGATCAATTTTTACAATTTTTAATTAAATAGTTTTTAAGTAGAAACATTTTTATTAATAATAAACAAAACTTATACAACTACAAAAACATCAACAAGCTTTTATCCCACTACATAGGGTCAGCAAAATAAATTTTTTTCTCCATTTTGTCAGATTAAAAGTCAAATTCTCATTTAAATATAATAAAGAAATGTCATTTTTAATATTTTCTAACCAAGTCTTTTTAGGTCTACCTCTACCTTTCTTAACATAGATTAAATCTAAAATATCTACTCTCCTAACTGAGTCATCAGAAGGAGAAATTATTCTGTGGGGAGTACAGACGGGAAAAACTGTTCGGACTATAAGTGTACACACTATGTACAAAAAATGTGCACAAGAAGTTGAAACACAATATGTACAAATTTGTACATACTGTTTACACTCATATATACGAGCAATTCTTTCCTTCCGGACTCCGCATGGAATAATTTATCCATGAGAATACTATCGTTTTAAGTGACCAAACCATCTAAGGCGACTCTCTATAATCTTATGTACTACTGGAGCTACTCCAACCTTCTCATGTATATGCTCATTTTGTATCATGTCTCTAAGAGCAAAGTACTCATCCACCTGAGCATCCTCATCTCTGCAACACTTAATATTATGATTCTCTTTTAATGGCCAACATTTGAGCCATAAAATACTGCAGGTCTAACAACCATCTTATATAAATTTCCCTTAAATTTGAATGATACTTTTCTATCACACAACAAGCCCTATACATTCCTCCACTTCATCAATCAAACTTGAATTACACTAATAATATCCTCATCTAATTCACCATCGCTCTGAACAATATACCCAATATATATAAAACGTGTACTCTTCTTAATGACTTGATCACTCAAAGTCACAAACCCCCAACTAGAACTATTACTACTAAAACCATACTCCATGTATTCAATTTTAGATCTACTTATAATATTATACAATTAAATAATATATTTTATAATTTAAAAGTCAACAACAACATCAAACATTTATCGCACTTGGTGGGATGACTACATGAATCTTTTTTCTCCATTTGGTTTTATTAAGAGTCAAATTATCATTTAACTCCGATAAAAATGCCGTCGAAATCTTGATGATGACATTGTCAATGTAATTATAAGAGGAAAATTGTAATGATATTTTACTGCAAAATGCATTAACACTTTCACATTCTTGAATTTATATTTAGTTTAATACTATACATAGTATCCTGAATTACAATAATCTCAATGCAAATTCAAAAGCTTTGAATCAATGATAAAGAGTCATTGAAACTATTTTTATACTCAGCTCTCCTTAGTTTGTTGTTTGAGAGATTGACTCCCAACTAAGAGGGTCTGAGTTGAGTCTCGCATATGTGTTGTGTGTGTATTTGGATGAAGCTTAACTATATAACAACCGAAGCACAATAGAAACAATACAAAGGAAAACTATAATACAACCTTGAGATCAATGAACTTATCTGAATCAACATTTAATAGAGAAAATGATCAAAATGACCCCTTAACTCCTTACGAACGATCAAAATGGCCGCTAATTATATCAAAGGATTTTTTTTAATCCCTTAAACTCCTTAAAAAGGAACCAAAATAATTCAATGGTAGTACTATTTTGATTATTCTTTAAAGATTTAAAAGACCAAAATGATCATTTAATATAATTGGAAATCATTTTGATCTTTCATTAGGAATTAATACACTATTTTTGATCATTTTCTCACATATAACACAACATAGGCTTATAAAACAAAAATACAAAGAAACAACTTAGGAGATGATCTAACAATTAGTATGAAATAAAGAGTTATTGTTATTTAAGCTTCGTTTGGGGTGATTTTCTTATTTCTTTTTGAAGGGGATTTTTAGTACAAAAATTTCTAGTTTTAAAAAGTTTTATACTAAAAATCTATTTTAAAAAGCAATAAGAAAGTCATCTCAAACAAAGACTTAGGCTTTATTTGAGACAGCTTTCTAGAAAAAAAAAAAATTTTTAAAGCAGCAAAAAAGTAGTGGTAAAAAACCATCCTGAATGAAATCATAAGCTTCATTTGGTTATGCTTTCTACCATAGCTTTTTAATATAAAAATTCATTGAAATCTGAAGTATGAAATCTCATAACCATGTACTTAATCTGTTTCAGATACAGGAAATCTCATCAGCATACACTTTAATTGGTTATAACTCAAATAACGATCTTTTCAGAAAGAAAAAGTTGATAATCTCAAATACTAATGGTCTATTAACAATCTGTACAAATTGAAAAATCTGAAACCCTTAAATTATTTGCCTGGAATATATACTACCAAACCATAAAAAATAAGCTTCAGCTTGACCAAACATGATATGCTACAGTAAATAGTAAATACACCAAAGTAATATAGAAAGAATGCCTACATACTCTCACTTTAGTCCCACACAGAAAAGCACATGAAAAACACTATCAAGTGGGACCATACAACCACACAATACCTTAAAAGAAGCGACAAAATCTTATCTGATTTCAAATCTTACAGAATATTATTTGAACAAGAACAAACAAACTTTCAAAGAGGTACTAAGAAGATTAGAACTTTCAAAAGACAACTAGAAAGTGGCAAGAAAAAAGAAAAATTTTCTTTTGAAGGTTTCATTTAATTGCATTAGTGAAAGAAACCCAGTACTTGACCACCAACATTTTGCCTAATGGCTTCCTCATGATCAAATATGCCATTAGGAGTTCTGATGACAACATAACCCCACTGCAGGGACAGAAGGTAAAATCGAGAATGAAAATAAGCACATAAACAGTGAAATTATTTAGGATATAAACAGCTCCAAGAGCTTTTTTTTAGCCATACTTTGCATTCATGGTTTGTTGACGTGTTTCTGGCTAAGTACAAAAGAAGTTCCAGTTGCCTATATATTTCTCAATTATTTTATTTTACTTTCTGTAGTGGTTTGATTTAACACAAAGTTAGCTCGAAAAGATACAAGGTCATCAGTTATATACAAGAAAAGTACATCGAAATTCGGGGTCAATTAATTTTTATAAAACAGAAATAGCATCAAAATTGTATTGATTATAAAATCTATTTATCAATACCTAATTGAGAGGTTATATTTTATTTATTGATTTTAAAGAGAAATCTCAAAAGAAGTATGACCCCAAAGGGAAACTAAGTAGGATTTTAAACAGTGAGGTTGGTTGGAAGCCCACACCAATCCTTGAAAAATAAAAATAAAGGAAACTGCACAAGAAATCTTCATATATATATATATATATATATCCACCTCAATCTACTCGGTATCCCTGAGAGGAGGCAACTCATGACTTCTAATCAGATTCCCTAGACACTACAATTAATAGTCATTAGTATTGGTAGACTAAACCCTAGAGAATTCCGGGGATGATAGAATCATAGGATCTTGATCAGGTCTACCTTCATCACCCACAACCAGGATTTAGAACATTCACACACATATGCACTTCATGCACATACTAAATATAATTTCATCATTAATTGAGAGTACTCTTCTACGCGTTAGAACTTAGAAGGGGTAATTAACTATGAGGGCTTGCGCTCTTAAGTAGGACCCAGATCTAAATAAACTCCGACACTACTTTCAGGGGAAATCTGATTAATTTAAAATCCAATCTACCTTGAGAAAATAAGGACCTTAAGCTTATGAGAGCAAAGTTCACGCCTATTTTTTCTGAGCAAACACAAACAACACCTACATGAATGTTTGGCTGGCTTCTTATAGTTTTAATTATAATTAATTTAATGGGCTAGTTAGCAATGGGATCTAGACTAATATTGGTGGGTCTTACATGCAGTTGGTTGGTCTGGATATAAATTGGGTGGGAACTCACATCCACTAGAAGGCCTAAATGTAAATTGGATTAGCGCTTGTATCTAATTACTTGCTTTGTTCAGTCATTTTAAGCTTTAATAAGAGTATTTTTGATAGTTTCATATGTCAAAAAATATCAAAAGGGCCAAAATTTATCACCCTAAGTTTAAGAACACTTCATCATTATCCTAAATTTAGAATGACGTTTAAATACGGGTCTTATGACCTTGCATCGTGGACAAGGCAACCCTTGGCGAGTCTTATCAAGACCCTTGGATTGAATGAGAGTATTAAGATTGGACTCGAGTCCCAACCGATAAGACTAATCAATCAAGTTGGCATTATGTATAATTGCTTGAGGCATTAAATGGATATTTTTTAATATGCACGTGCATGAACATTTATACATCTATCATTTGTAGCATCTTTAAAACTTCAAACTCTTCATTAGCTTTTTAATTTATCAGTACTATTTGTTATTATTAGAAATAAAACCAAACTTCTCAGTTAATTCTAATATATTGAAGTGCTCAATGTTATAATGTGCAACTTGGAATGTACATACTTTTCATATTCAGATACATATTTATATTTTTATAAAACTTCTCAATAGTAATATATAATTTTTGACCATGACTATTTTTCCTTGCAGTTGGAGTAGGAAGATACTTAAAGAAGTCAAATTTTGGCATCTAAGTAAGTGGTTTTGACAACTATCAGGTTTTATTAATACACAACTAGATGAAGCCAGAGAAGACATTAAAGATGTCTGTGGCTTAAATGCATCCCAAATTATCTATAGAAAAAGAATATGATTTGTATGACTGACGATTAAACTTTGGTTCATTCACCCATAATGTCATTGATTTCATTCTAAGATATTGCTTTGCCTTTCCATCGTTTCTTCTCTTAAGTGGTTAATCTATGATCTCAACTACATCAATAGCGCAAAAAAAGGCTTCATCGTAGCGCTAGAAAGTGATAGAGGCTGTCTAATAAATTCATACACAACCACAACCAACGTGAACGTCAAGAAGTAAATATTGGCATCATGACGCCACTTCATTAGATATCAAATCATCTTAAAGTTGGGCTGCAATAATCCTCTAATTACCCAATGATGTTGACAGCTTGATTATTGTATTCATCAATCACCAAAAACTATCATTTAATACATGTCTTATAATTAACTAAAACTTTAGTACATAGGTCTATCATAAATTCATTAATCCAGCATTTTGAAAGTTCATTTCTTATTTAATTGTTGAAGTTCTTAGTATTAAGATCTAAATGTGTTTATCATAAATCCATTAACCAAGCAATTTTGGAAGTTCTCATTAATTCTGTTAGTTATAAAATAGAATTTTACTCTGTTGATATCAAGAATTTTACGAAGAGCATACATCATTGCTATTTTTTGAAAAACTAAAAAAATATAAACTAGATTAGTCAAAACACTCGCAAATTGAACACAAACGTTGATGCTGAAGTCATTAGAAAGGCGAGCTTTAAAATGTATGTGTTACCAGAACTAATGCTTGGATTCTATCATTATTGGCATTGTTTGACAATAAAAGACAAAGTATTGTTCTTATTTTAGAACAATACTTATTTAAAGTTAAACCAAATGCACAATAAAAAGAAAGCAAATTATAGATCTGCTTGTAAATTTTCTAAGGTACTAACCTAACTCAAAAATTCACCCCTACTCTCACTCTCATATCTCATATCTCATATCGATAAACAAAATCAATTTTCAATGTATTCCTTGTCATCATCTCATCCCAGTTTCCTCCACCAACATCATTCAAGCAACGTGTTTTTCTCTACCCTTCCTCCAACAGTTATGTTACATGTACAATACTCTACCCTTCTCCCTTAGCCTTTTCTTTTCCAAAAAATTGCAACCACCTCATTTTCATCCCATTCCTCGTTCCTATTTTAATTGATAAAAAACTTTTTTTTTGTTTTAAAGAAATGACTTCGCCCATGTTTCTTTCATACACTATTTCCAATATCTATAATATTTACAATAAAAAGCATTCAATTTTCGAAAGAACTTCATTTTAAAAGAAAACACTCTCTATATTTCATGATTTTCATAGAATGAGATTCTCTTGTTTGTGTAAAGGAAATTTAAAAAATCAGAGAGAACCGAATGTTGAAATGAAGGTCTCTCCATGCCTGTCCGTTTGTAGAGTTTCCAATGAGAGACTTCTTTGTCCAATAATATACATTATGCTGAGATATTCTATCTAGTAAAATTCTAGAATCTTGCAGCCTATCACATCAAATCATTACTGCATAAGCTTTCTCCCTCATTTCAAATGAAATCCTTTCTCTCCCCCTTTCAAATTTCATCGCTATCCGGTCTCATCCTCCTAGAAATGAGTACATACTATAAGCATAGCAAGATTTTAGAAAGTCATATAAGCTAGACTGAGATCGACCATTTATTAGCTCATGAGTGCATCTTTACAATTCACGAGCTCATGTTCAAGCATGGAAGCATGCATTATATACAAACTCAAATTTAAGCTCAAATAGACTCTACTAGATGACTAGTTGAACCAGCTCATTAAGAATATTTTGATAAAACAAACACATTGAAATTCTAGTTTACCTTTATTTAAGTAATTTATAAATTGTCTAAACCATATCATTAACGGTTGACCAAGCCAAGCTATTAATCAAGCTCAATATATTGAGTCGAGCTCAAACTTACAAAGAGCTTAATCGAGGCAAGCTTGAAGCTAATTATCAAGCTTGACTGAAGCTTAAGCTCAAGCTCAAGCTTGTGGTCAAGCTACATACTAACCATATTGAGTCAAACACAAGTCAACTAGTCAAGTTTAACTTGAGATCAACTTAGTCGATTACATCCCTATGCTACACCAACCCTCAAAGCCATGTCATTCAAATAAAATAAAAAGAAAGAAAACAGAAAAATCATGTAGTACAAAGCAATCAGCAATTCATGAGGTTGCATCAGATAGTTTCTAAGTAATCATTGAGAACATAGATCTAACACGACAACAATCCGCAAATGAAAGAAGCTATTTCTAAATTTTCAGAACACAGGCCAATAATAATGTAGAAGCAAGTTCAATCATGCAAAGCAATTTAGCATGTAGAAACTGAAAACTGACTATGTGTAAGAGCAAACCTGGCGTGTTGGAAGAGTACGGACTCGATATTCTTCAATTTCCTTGGCTTTGATATCATGTCTATATGTCAAAGCCTTGCAATCTTTAATTCTTCCTAGCAATTCTACAGTAATTCTACCGACTCTATGTGGATCATAGACTTGGAAATCTTTGATATATCCTGCAAAAGGAGATGCATAAATATGTAGCTGCAAATATGAGCACGGTGGCAACTTGGTTAGTACTATGAAAATAAAAATTTATCAAAGATGTGGCATGTTGAAAGCCCATATCATTTATGGATGAACATTAGACCATATGTAAGCTAGGTCTCCTCAACAAAAGCTCAGATGAACTATTTTGTAGACCACACGTACCAATTAAAACTAAATTATGTTAGTCCAAGCACTCGCCTAAAGAGCTGATTGGTCATGAATTTTATCTTAGGTTCATTTGTGTAAGAAATGGGTCTAACCAAATCAAAATGATTACTCTTGAAGAGATTGTTTAGAGGGAAAATCAAATTATACACAATTCATTGGAATCATTGCATATGCATACATTCTAGGAGAACAAACATAAAAAAGAAAGACAATTAATATAATTAATTATAATAATCATATCCCACGGATCTCCAACTGCAGCCCTCGGATTACTGCCCACGGATCTCCAACTGCAACCCTTGAATTGTTGCCCACGGATCTCCAACTATGGCCCTCGAATTGCTGGCCACGGATCTTCAAGTGCAACCCTCGTATTGCTGCCTGCAGATTGCTGACATGGCCTCCCCTTGGTTGCATGATTCAACACTCCCCCTCAAGTTGGGGTGTACAAATTGTACAATCCTAACTTGCAAACAAACTTATCAAGTAAAGAGCCCGGTAGTGCCTTTGTTAGAACATCGACAAGTTATTCATGAGTTGGGAAATATACTACTTCAGTTTTTAGTTCTCTATTTTCTCAGACATAAATTGTCTATCAATAGTAACATGTTTGTTCTGTCGTGATGTACGGGATTCTTGGCCATACTAATTGCGGATTGATTGTCACATTTCAACTTTATCGTGTCTTCAATCTTTATTCCCAATTCAATCAATACTTATATGATCCAAATACCTTTACAAATAATAATTGTTAATGCTCTCATTTCAGATTCTGCACTGCCACTGGAAACAACAGATTGTTTATTTCTCCTCCATGTCACTAGGTTCCCCCCACACAAATGAACAATATCTTGTGGTCAATTGAGTGTCGACCGGGCTTCCTGCCCAATCAGAATCAAAATAAAGGATCTATTTTCTATCTTCATTTTTCTTGAATAATAGCCCCTTTCCCAGAGTGTTCTTGAGATATCTCAAGATTTGATATATTGCCTCCATGTGCTCCTTAATAGGAGTACTCATATATTGACTTACCATACTCAAAGATACTCACAGCAAACCCAATATATGGACGGGTGTGGGAGAGATATATAAGCTTTCCTACAAGACGTTGATATCATCCTTTATCTATTGGAATCCCCTCCTTTTCTATCCCAATTTTCTTCTTAGGATCCATAGGTGTATTGGTTGGTCTGCACCCTAGCATGTTGATCTCCTTCAGTAGGTCTAAGGTATACTTGTGTTAGGAAATAAATATACATTTACTGATCGAGCTACCTCCATACCAAGAAAGTATATAAGTGATCCTAGATCTTTAACTTCAAACTCCTTAGACAAAGCCTGCTTGATCTTCATTATTTCCTCTATATCATTTCCAATAAGGATGATGTCATCCACATATACAATCAGTATTATTATCTTGTCTCTTTCTGACTATTTCACAAACAAGGTATGATTTGTCTAGCATTGTTTAATATTATGGTCTTTTACATACTTTGAGAATCTTCCAAAACATACTCTTGAAGATTGCTTTAATCCATACAAAAATTTCAATAGTTTACACATTTTATCCCTTCCATAGACTTATGAATCCCCATTGGAATCTTCATGCAAACCTCTTTTAGGTTCTCATTCAAGAATGCATTCTTGATATTTAGTTGATGTAGGGATCAATTTAAATTTATTGTTAAGGAAAGAAGAATTCTAATGGCATTGAGCTTTGCAACAGGAGCAAAAGTTTCCTGATAGTCTCTTGCAACCAGTCTAGCTTTCAACCTCTCAACACTACCATAGACCTTATGCTTTACCGTGAACACTCATTTGCAAGTCACAACATTCTTTCCTAGTGTGAGATTCATAATCACCCATGTTTTATTTTTTTTCAAGGTCATAATTTCTTCTTTAACAGTCTGTCTCCATCCTGGGTGATTCAAAGCTTCCTAAATATTGGTCGGAATATGTACATTATCCAACTTAGAAAGGAATACTTGATAAGTGTCTGATAATCTCCTATATGAGAGAGTTTTAGATTGGATGCTTGATGCATGATTCTTTTTGGCCATTTGATGGCTCTATCTCTTGTTGAACTTCCGCATTTTTCTCCTCTGTATGAATTTCTACAGTTTATGGATCCATTGAAGTAGAGTTGACAGGTGCAAGATGTGTCTCACTGCTCGGCATATGCTGGTTTTTCTTTCTTTTTCTTGAGTATACATATTGATGTTTCTTAATTGATATTCTTTGCAAGGATTGATTAGGACTTATGGGTGGAGGTAATAGGTTTAAAGATGGAGTTTGAGATATATGAGATATACCTTGGGAAATACTTGTGGTTTGAATTTCTAGTGATATTTGTTGATTTTGACTGGACTTTGTTTGGTGTATGATAAGTAAATCTACTCCCAAGTTTGAAATTCTCCTTCACTCTCTCCCTGAATTTCAAAACTATTGAAGTATGGGTTGTTTTCAAATAAGGTAACATCCATGGTTTCAAATATTTTTCTAGAAATATGGCAAAAGCATTTGTAACCTCTTTTGTCGGGGAATAGCCAATAAAGACATAGCTTTTTTTATCTTGGGTCAAGCTTGCTTATATCTTGTGAATAGATATGAACAAAGGCAGAGCACCCAAAAACTTTATAGAAAAGGTTTGATAACATGAATCAAGCATGAGGATAGGCATTGAGTAGAGTTTGTCTAGGTGTTTCAAATTTTAATATCCGAGTATGCAATCTATTTATTAGGTACACAGCAGTAAGAATGGCTTCTCCCCATAGATATTTTGATACTTTTTATAAATAGCATAATAGGTTTGGCGACTTCTAGGAGTTCCCTATTTTTCCTCTCGTCTACTGATGTAGGCAGGTGGGGGTGGTAGGGGGGTCATCCCCCCTATGTTTGGCCTTTTCGGTTTCTCCTCTGGCTCCTGACCCGTGGCCTTCTCCTCTCCCCGTGGCTGCCTTTTCCCCTCCCCCTCTCTGTGGCTTTTCGGTTGTTGCGCCTAGCTCCTGTCCCGTGGCTGGTTGTTCTCCCCTGGCTGCCTGTTTTAATCCCTATGAGTGGTCGTTCCTATCCCCTTTTGTGGCCCCTTCAGATGTTGTTCCTGGCCGCCTGTTGGCTTTCTATTTCTCTTATTTTGAGTGGTTCGACTGGTGGTATTTTGGACTGTTTGGCTGCCCTTTTTCTCCTATATATATGTGGTGTTTTGAGAATAAAAAAAGGAATTTATGAAATAATTTTTGGAGCCAAAAAAACCTAAGGGTTTTCTTCTTGGAAGAGCTTGCGAGCTTGTTCATTTCTCTTCTTCTTGGGAAAGCTTGCGAGCTTGTCCTCTCTTCGATTTCGTCGCGGGCTTCTTATCTCTTTCTTCTCTCTGCAAGTTCCATGCCATATGTATCTTTCTTCTAATTCAAAGAATGGAAGCAGTTTTAGGAGTATTTTTATGTTCTATTAAGTTTGTTGTTTGTCGCATAAGTTGTAAGTGTTTGTCATTCTAAGGAATAAACGTGTTGTTTGTCATTATCATTTGTATTTTGATATTTTGCGGTTATTTTGGAAGAAGATCTAGCTTTTATGTAATTTGTAAGAATGTCCTAGTTTTAAAGTGTTTTGGCAATCTTTTTTATTGCATCAAATTTGGTATTAGAGCCTAGGTTAGTATATTCCTAGGTTGTTTGTGTCTTTTTTTAAGTTTGATTTCCTAATTCCAATGGAAAACCATGAAGCCAGTGGTGGGTGAAAATCAGCCTGAAGATACTGAATTCCAAATCCCTCTGGACAGATGGATTCCATCACAAGGAGATTTTACTAATCCACTACAAAATGAAACATACAAGCTTCAAATGAAAATGCATGTATGTACGGAAAATTACGTGAAAAAAAAAAAAAGAAACGTCTGCAAGACCAATTCAAGTAAGAAAGATAAATTATTTTGAAGAAGTATGCGGCCAAGATTCAAGAATTGAATTCTGTTCTTTCGTCTCGTCGGGATAAATCTAAAGCATCCTCATCAGGAAATGAACATTTTCAACCGGGGAAGAATATGATGTAGGCAAGGGGGGGCGGTTCATCCCCCCAGTGGCCCAGTGTTTGGCCTTTTCGGTTTCTCCTCTGGCTCCTGTCCCATGACCTTTTCCTCTCCCCGTGGCTGCCTTTTCCCCTCCCCCACTCTGTGGCCTTTTGGTTGATGTGCCTGGCTCCTATCCCGTGGCTGGTTCTTCTCCCCTAGCTGCTTGTTCAGGTCCCTGTGAGTGCCCGTTCCTATCCCCTTTTGTGGCCCCTTCGGCTGCTGTTCCTGGCCGCCCGATGGCCTTCTATTTCCTAGTTTTTATGTGTTTTGGCAATCTTTTTTATTGCATCAGCTACCCCATTTTGTTGAGGCGTATACGCACATGAACTCACTTGATTATCCATTGGCTTGATAGGTATTCTCACGTGATAGAATGAAAGTATTCTCTCCCATTATCTGATTTTAAGATTTGAATTTTTTGTATCAAACTGGTTTTGAATCGTCGGTTGAAATGAATTGAATATCCTTTCAACTTTATATTTTTTTCTTCATTAAATAAAGCAAAATGAGTCTAGTAATATCATCAATAAATATCACAAACCAACTTGCTCCACTTATATTTTTAACCCTTGAAGGTCCCAAAATATCACTATGGATCAAGGCAAAGGGTTAAGAAGGTTGGTAAGGAACAACTAAGTAAGATGATTTGGTATATTTAGCCAATTGGCAAGTTTCACATTTGAACATACTTGAATTTTTATTAATAAATAAATGGGTAAAAAGCTTTTCAAGGTACATGAAATTTGGATGACCTAACCTATAATGCCACATGATAATCTCTCTATCTTGACTGACTCTAGAATGATTATCAACAAGCTAACTTACAATAAAATGATTCTTAGGAGGATTCTTAAGAGCAGCAATCAAGGTTTGTATGAATTTGGGTGTCTTGATGTAATATAACCTAGAACACATCTCAGCACTGTTAATCTTCTTCTCCGAATCTAGTTACAGGAAAATATATACATTATTGGAAAAAAAAATTTAAGCAATTACGATCACAAGTCAATTTACCGATGGAAATCAAATTGCACTCAAGATTGGTTACATAAAGCACTGTTTTAAGGGTTATAGCTTCTATGATAAAAGTTGAACCAGCATTGCATGTCAAATCTAAAATTACTATAAAACAGAGACTCCGGCGTTGCAGCGGTAATTTTTAGCGCCATTGTGCTCTAGACCCAAGCTCCTTGGCGCTAAAAGGTACAACGCCGCTGCACTACAGTTCAAACAGAAATTCATTTTTTTTTTAATTAACTTCTACGCATTTCATTTTTCGAGTTCTTACACAACATAATTTTACAACATATCCAACATTGCCTACTATATAGCCTTGTACTTTGAATCTGTTACCTATCAAGAAGGCAATAATCACTACTTCAACAATCTCAGACATCTCTCTCACATGTTTTACACTTTTACATATCCCACAAATTTCTATCAATTAATTCTCTATTCCATGAATTACAAAGACTCGTAATTGTTGTGTAAATTTCTATATCCCTCGTTGTCTTTCAGGATCTCAACTGGAACAAGACAATTGATGAAGGTGTTAAAGTTGGTAAAGTTTACTATGAGAACAAATGTTCCGCCTACCCTCACTTAAAGTTGGTAGAGTTTACTACCAATGAAAAGAAGTGACATGATATGCATGTGACTTGGGCCAACAGCACTATGTGTCTTTTGTCTTCTACCACAAGTTGTTGCCCTCTTCCCTTAACGTTAGTTCACTCAAACATTTGAGATATTAGTCATGACATTATTCATCAAGGATTATGCTATTTTTTCACATTCATTAATAATTTTTTCAATGGAAACTTGGGTTTACTTACTCAAATATGGCCCGTAAGTAATTCAAGTATTTCAAATTTTTTATCAAGAAATAAATGTTCAATTTTTTACCTCAATCAAAACTTTAAACACTAATAATGATTTTTAGAATTTATGCAATTCACACCTTTGTTATGCTTATGCTTTAAATGTACTTGACAACAATTGTTTCCGTGATCATCTTCTTCATTTTTACCATAATATGTTTCGTACAATCTTGCAATGGCTTAGGAAACTTCTAAAGACTTATCAAGTGGGACTTGCATAAAATCTTATTAGATAATCTCTTGCATGATTCCATTATTATACCTTATATTTTCAAATTATACTAGTCACTTTTCCTCTAAATTTGGATGGCCATCTTAAGACCCCCCTAGCTATTAATAAAACCCAACCATGCTAAAGGAAACTTACTCTTTAGAAACATACAATATCCCAAGTTCTTTGTTGCTTAATTGTTTCCCTCTCACTAAGACCTAGTGTAGCCACTCAAGTTCTTAATTTGCACACTTTCTTAAAGTGAAATAGTTATCTTGTTGACTACTCGGAAGAAAAGTTCCATAAGTGAAATTGTTGTTGCTTATGTTGTCTTCTACATTGTACATTTTTTTTTTAATTTTCTTGCAAAGTTGAATAGTGCTTTTGACTTGGAAAATCTAATGTATGGAAGCTCCTCATTGTAACATTTTCTCTATTTTTTTGTATTTGAGATAGGGTTTCTAGCATTTTATTCACTTTTAGTTCCTCTTGTAAAGAATGATTTTCATACTAAGAAAAACATCATAATTTACCCTCTAAGTCAAAAAAGAGGTACAAAGATTTGTCTTCACAAGAGGTGAAAAAGGGTCATCAAAACTCCTAGAGAAAGCTTGAGGATTAGAAATAGGGTTCATTAAAAAGTAGTCGAGTCAAAACACTATAAATCCTCATGGTGTTTGTTTTATTTCGTTTTTACTTCTCTATTCTTACATTTGGGTATCTCATGCTTCATTTGGTTATTCCCAATCTTGCTATTTTAACTGAACCCCTCACTCTCACTCCTCTTAGGTGTGCTCCTGGGCCAAATGGCAATAATGGTATTTTCTTGTAAAGTTTAGATACTAAACTTATGAATTAAGTTTCAGAAAAAACTCTACAAGCTTACCCATTGAACCACCCATTTTTATAATATGTCGGAGCTTCGAGGTATTAATAAATCACCAAGGCAAAGCAACACCCACAACAACCTAATATAAAATAAAAAATAATAATAATCGTTTTATGATGTTTTACAAGTTCAACCTAGCAAAAATTAAAACTCAAATGCCTAAAAACAGCTAAAAATTCATATAATCATGAGAGTGACAGGGGAACAAATGTATTAAGTAACCATGAAGCAAAAAGTAATAACATCACTCAGCGTAAATGCTTCTAATAATCCTAATGAAAGCAGAAAGTATAAATAATGAGCTAACTTTACACTATTTGGTGCCACTGAACAGGATTAACAAATTCTTCGGATTAAGAGTAAAAAATATACCCAGAAAACAAGTCCAAGTGAATTAAAATTGTATCTTTACATGACCCATTCACCCAATAATCTGACTATCTGAGTATAGAAGCCAGCAGAAAAACGGAAAAATTTTACCTCTTGTTTTCATTATGCCAAGGAAGGAAGCCATCACTGTGGAAATGGGTTGAAGGTTTGCAGTGGCCTTTCCTCTTCTCTCCGCATTCACGATAGTCCTTAACGCATCGTTTAGTATCCTACGCCCCATTTGACTCTATAACTTTGTCCCACTTCTCTCAAGGCTCTCTATAAGGAAAAACCGGTATAAGCAAAAATGCAAACGAGTGAGATGATCCTTCTTAGTTGAGGCAGATAATAAGAGAACAGAAGCACTGAGCATAAATACAAAAGCGTCTCGCGCTCTGCTCCGTAGCCAGAAACAAATCCAGCCCAAAATGGAGCTCGAAGGTTCAGTAGAATGCAGGATCGCGAGCTGCAATTTACATACGACCAGAGGTCCCGAGGGGCTTGGGCGGATGTAAAGTACTTGGTTACCGATATGTGATCTAAAAATTGGTGGAGGGTTGGAGCTAAGGGGGAAATGGAAAAGGGAATGGGTGGAGGAAGACGAGGAGAAACATGCCTGTGTGAATCTTCTGGAAATCCTCACGATTAGTCGCCGTTCCAAATGAAAAGGATCAGCTGCTAGGGTTTGGATGGTGGGAGGGGGAAATTAGAACCGTGCAGACTCAATATTCACTTGTGAGTATTTACCAACTACTTTTCAATATTTGTTGCTGAATACTCAATAAGTATTCAGTAAATACTTAGCAAATTCAAGCTGTTCTTTTCATTTGGATTCCACACGTAATAATTTTTTGTTAGAGAAGAGGAGCAAATGGAGATCGCACAAGGGGTGTGACGGTGGAGAAATTATTTTGGTGTGGTCTCCGGATGTAGCTTTATGTCCGAACTCCAATACCATATTATGTTGTAACGTGGCAACCCGACGACCTGACCCAATAAAACTATAATATGTTTTGTGTCTTTTCTAATTTATTGCGTGATCTGATGATCCGACTCGGTCCATAAGCGAAATTTTAAGTTTTGCAACAACATGAAATGCGCATAAAGTGCTAATATATAGGGTTTATAATTATTGTTGCCACCTGAGGCTAGATTTCTCATAAGATGTTTAGAAGATTTCTCGGAAAGCTCATAAGCAAAAGAGAAAATGAGTTTATGAAGATGGAAACTAGTTTGGAGGACGTCAAATTATTCGAGGAGATGGAAAGCGTTACGCAAAACGTCCAGAAAAAACATACTATAGTGAACAAGCGGAGATACAGTCGATGATATTATTGGTAAATTTTAAACTTCGAAAAGGTTTTACTATTTTTCATTTGATAACTTATAGTTTTTAATGGTTTAGGGTGTATTGTTCAAATCTTTTATGCTCCTCCGAAGTTTTATTTCTCTGCACAAGCTTAGATCAAAGTCTGATTATGTGTACAAGTTTAGATAAAAAAAATAATTTGTTGTGTATTATTACTATTTTATTATAGCTATGTACTTTTACTATGTATTATTATTGTTTACCGTATCTGTGTAGTGATGTGTATCGTTGTGTACTGCGTATGTATGTCGATATGTGTCGTTACTCTGTAACATTGTTACTTTTGTATACTTCCATGTCTATATCAATATGATTCAATATGTTCCTCTTATGAATAGGGTGTTTATAATTATGAGAAGAAAGCATAGGATATGTATTGTCATTATGCTCATAATGTTAGTTTTAGTATTCCCAAAGAACATCACAATTATTGGCCTAATTCAAGAAAAATAAGAACCATGGACTTTATCTATTCGAAAGCTGGATTTAATAAGGGTACTAACTTAAACTCCTAATCTAAATATCGAAAATCAAATACCTTAACGAGGTGTCGTGCTATGATTAGATTTTAAGTGGATGAATATAGAGTTTGGATTGTACGGAAATGTACAGAGAGCCACAACCACGAATTAGCTAGGCCGAAAGATCAACATATACTTAGATTATTTATAAATATTAGTGATGAGAAAATATCAATTTTTAAATCAATGACATAAGCAAAGATAAGAATCGTTAATGCATTTACCTACCTGGCCGATGAAGTTGGAGGTTTAGAAAATATTGTATTCTCTAATAGGGAAGCATATAACTACATTTAGAAAGAGAAAATAGTGAAGATTGGGTATGATAACACCAATTCACTAATTCAACTATTTAAAGATCAACTAGTTGATGACAACATGTTTGTATGGGACATCTAATTTGATGAATATGATAGATTGTTGAATTTTTTTTTTATTGATTGATTGAGGATAATAAATTATGACTATTTTAGAGATGTGATAATTTTGTATACTAGTATAGACTTAACAGATATAATTTTGCTTGTACATCATTTATTAGAGTTAATAATCATTGGCAGAATATTCTATTAGGGGTTACCTTTCTATTATATGAGACAATTGAATCATTTATCTGGTATTTATAACATTTATATGAATGATGGATGATAAACATCTCATAATAATATTTACTTTAGCAGGATCAGACATTGACTATGATAATAAAAATTGTATTACCTTAGACATGTCATAGGCTTTGCCGATGACACATCACCAAGAAAGCTTCATCTAAGGTGTCATGCTTCAATAATAACAACAACATTATAGGCCTTTTTTATATGTGTTTAAGCAAGTAATGATTCTGAGAAGGAGTTCGAGAGAACCTAGGCTGAAATGATGATGTATGCAACTTGAAACAAAAACACAAGGAAAGAACAAAGAAAATCAAGACTCACTTTTTAGAAATTTAAGATACCACTTGGAGAACAAAATAGGCTAAATAAACAACTAAAATTCAAAATAGAGAAGAAGCGATCATCCAACAAACCAAAGCAAAAGAAAGTTAGCAAAAGAAACAAATTAAAAACAAACAAACGCTATCCTCAGAACATTCTACAAGAGGACTCCTCACATGCATTGGTTGTAGGAATATATATATTTCAAATAATGTTTAGATATGCAAACCAAAGGGTCCACCACTGCAAAGGGGTCCAACATCCTACCAAACTCCTCCAGCAAATGCCACCAAAGCAGCCAACAAATCCACCAAAACAGCCAACAAACTTTACCAACGGAACTAGAAGAAAGATACAGGTGGAGTGTAACTTGCGTAGAGAAGAAAGAGGTTAGAAGCTCAGACGAAGGGTGGGAAGGAACTCGCAAGTATTCCCTATAGGAGAAAGAAGATGGAACAAAACTCGCAAGCTATTTTAAGAAGAACCCACAGGTTATAGCAATTTTGCTCTCAATATTCACCAACCCATTTCATCTCAAAGCATTTCATATATATAGGAAATAGAGGGGAACTAAACAGCCCAAAAAAATACTTCAATTCCACTCATAAATGGGGAGTTGAAAAGCCAATTGTTTTTGTACAGAAATTCCAAACGGCACAGCAAACCACAAGGGAAAGCCACGATTCTAGCAGCCAAGCACAGGAAATTAGGAGACAATTCTCGGGTCCAGTAGGAGATAATTTCTTGTTAAAAAGGGGGGAAGTCACAGCAGTAAAGGGGGCAGAGAACCGAGGGGTCAACAGTAACCAAACAGGCAGCAGTAAACCATGGGAGAGAAAACCAGCAGAAAAAACTGCAGCAGCCCAAGAGTCAAAAGGAAGGTGAAAGAACAAGTTCCACTCACCAAATCTAACTCCCTACTCATTTAATTTCATAACTAAACATCATCTCATAATGAGCTACACCTTCACTTGATAATAATGAGTTGGCACCACTAGAATTTCAACAACTAAAGCTCAAACCGAAAATAGCCAAGGCCCACCCGAAACCAGCCAACTTCCCCAAGGACATGATGGACCCCAAAACCAACAAACCCAAGGTAAGCATAATCCAAACCAATTCCTACCATGATCATAGAATTTACCACCATCATTGGATAACATAAAAACAAACAAAAAATAAAAAATATAACTAATATTGTTCAAAATAAAAATAATGCAAAAATTTAAATGCATCAATTCCCCCGTGGTGGGAGAATCTCATCTCCTAATGAGAAAGCTTCAGTAGTTCTTTCATAAAGCTCCAGATTTTGAATTTTTAAATCAGCAGCATCAATCCAGGTGCAATCAGTTAATGGTCAATTACTTCATTTGACCAAAAACTTCTTGTATTCGCCATGACTTGTATTAGTGATTTTCACATCAACAACATCTTCTATTTGATATTCTTTATTCAAGGTTGAAGTGGAAAGTGGTAATGTTTCAACATCCACAGAGTCACCTGTATTTCCTTTATATAAAGAAAGGTCAGAATCATTAAATATAGGAGAAGATTCAACAGTAATAGGTAGATCCAAGAGGTATGCATTTGTGCCCAATTTTCGGATAATTCAAAAAGGTCCGAATTTTTTTTTTGCTCAATTTACCAAAAGTACCAACCGAAAATCATTGGTGACGAAAGTAAGCCATTACCATGTCACCTTCTTTAAAAACAACATCTCTTCGATGTTTATTTGCAGCAGCTTTGTATTTGACATTAGCTATACGGAGTTTTTCAAGAACTTGCTGTTAGACTGATTTGATATGATCAAAAGATTCTAAATCTTCAGCACTTACTTTATTAGGTAAAGACAAACCATTCATATCCAAAATATGTGGAATATACTGACCACATAAAATTTCAAAGGGAGTTTTTCCAGTAGTTCTATTAACAGAATTATTATATACAAATTCAGCTTGAGGTAGAATTAAATCCCATTGAAAAGGTTTCTCACCAGCAAGACATCTCAAAAGATTTCCCAAACTGCGATTGACAACTTCAGTTTGCCCATCTGTTTGAGGATGATAAGTAATACTAAATTGAAGAGAAGTGTCTAACTTAGCCCACAGAGTTCTTCAAAAGTGACTTAAAAATCTAGTATCCCTACAAGGGACACCATGAAGATGAACAATCTCTTTAAAATAACAAACTTTCCAATGAGAGGTTTCAAAACATGATTCATAGTTCTCATAAAAGTACTCGGAGCATTTGAAAGACCAAAAGGCATCACTCAGCAAATCAAGCATGTCATCCATTCTAGGAATTAGAAATCGATATTGAATGGTAATTTTGTTTATTGCCCTACTATCCACACACATCCTCTATATTTCATCTTTTTTTTGGAGTTAGCAAAGCAGGCACAGCATAGGGACTCAAACTTTCCAGAATCAAACCCTTTTTTTAACAATTCGAATACTTGTTTAAAAAGTTCAGCATGCTCAGTTGGACTCATCCTATAATGAGGAAGATTGGGCAAAGTAGCTACAGGTATTAAATCAATATGATGTTAAATTTGTCGCATAGGAGACAACCCAATTGGCAAATCATCAGGAGTTATATCATAAAACTCATCCAATAAAGCTTGCATTTTTTAGGAATATGAACAATAGTATCAGATTCTTTTTCCAAAACCAAATAAGTAACTTCAAAATGTTTCAAATTATTAGCATTTAAAAGCAGTTCAAGAGAAGTAATTTTGGCAACTGTGTCTTTCTTATCGGGCGAATTCGAAACATTTTTTT